CCACAAAATAAACACATCACAACGCTTTTCATTGCGCATGTGTCGATACTGCTGATGCCTGTAAATCAGTTTTCTTGCTCTTGTGAAGAAACCTTGCGGGAAGCTAGGAAGCGGACGAGATCTCTCCCTTCTTTTACAGGTACTGCGCTCACTTTTCTTGGTGTATAAACCCACAGACTGAAGCCCTATCTCGACTGGAAGTATTGCTTTCCGGAGCTAGCTGCGTTTGCGGTCGATATCGATAATCGTTTGAAAAAATAGAAGGTCAAGAAAGTCGCAGGACCTGGGAGTGGGTATAGACCGGTATCAGAATGACCTCTAGAAGAAGCCGAATAGCAAAAGGAAAAAAAAATAGTAAACGTGTGTAATTTACAAAGCTTCCTTAGCTTAGAAAGCCCTCTTTCTCCCCTGCGACGCGACATCTGAATATATTTTGTTGCCAGTAGTTTTCGCCATCTTTTCCTTTTTTGGGTAGAAAAAAGCTGCGCAGTCAATAATACATTATATTCGGCCTTGGCGTTTCCAGAATTTCCAGGATTGTTTCTGTCCTCGCTCTTCCACGTGTCTATCGAACAGTGAGCTCCGGGTGGCAGAGGTCGAGTTACTTGTCGAGTTACGTATAGATAAAAACGGCTTCGGATTGGTAGCCGAAGCATATTGAAGATTGACTAGAAAGTGATGGTCTGTATTTTGTTACAAATTATTAACCTTAATGGTACGTGTTTGTCATAAATTAGCATGGATTAACGGAGTTTACGTGCTCAATTTAGGTGAGATTTAGGTTTGAGAATGGTAAATCAAAAAACCCCAGTACCGCAAACAATTTCATTTCACCGAACACCGCAGCGTGAGAAACACAAACATCGCACACTGCAGGGTTTGAGATCGCCGCAACACCGCAAGTTGAGATTTTATTCACCGCATCACCTCATTAAAAAAAACATCAACACCGCAACACCGCAAATCCCCATGTCCCCCTCCACTATCTATCAAAGAATAGATAGTGAGTAGCATAGCCAATCAGAGAACAGCATTCGTGATAGAACCCTAGTAGATTTATAGTCGGTAACAGAGAATAGACAGCCACTGCACAACCCAGACGTTTGTGCTCATTCTGCATTCGCTTACCAACGAATAGTTATGATGATCTATATACTGCAACCACAGATCTTACAGATCTTAAGCAAACCAAAGTTAAGACTAATTAAAGGCAACTCGGCATCGAGATTGTTATATTACAAAATGTTCGAGGAGCAGCAGCACAATGCACGGTGCTGTAGACAATCTTAATAGTTCTTAAGTTAACTTTCGGATTATAATGTTGCAGTTCCTATTGAATGTTCTCTTCATCTTAAGTCAACAGAGTTCCGATACCGAGGGCTATAAAATGGATCTACAATTGTACATAGGCGAAACTTGTTACATACGTAAAATAAAAATTTAGTTTTTAATGGACGTTACCCTTGGCCTTGTGTCGCCATCGAGGTTGCTTTAAAAAATGGACCTGCATCTTTTTTAAAAAAGATAAATAGGTCTAGACATAAATATTTTTGTGCTCCCCGAAAAAGACGGTTTCAATGTAAACCTTGCAAACCTTTATAAACTTTTATAAATAAAACTATAATCGAACATGATTGCACGTGTGTTGAGGATGAATGTATTCGACCATCAAGTAACTATAACTTGGATTCCAGAGGGCAAGCGTCGGGGGTAGGGAGGGGGGGGGCGTGGAGGAGGGTTGTAAAGAGTCCTGGGGATATGATGAATGACTATATGGATAACCTTGTCGATTAACCTTTGCTATCTGAGGGTAACGTAACTTGTATATTTGAATAGCAATGAAGTGCCAAGAGTTGTGCTGTAGAAATGTGGCCAGTCGATGAGCTATTGATTCACTTCGATCTCAGGAATAAGCACTAACATGCGAGAGTGTTGTGTTTTTTGTATCACATCATTTAAAATCTGTTCAATCTAATTCTATTCCATTAAATTCTATTAACTCTTGTGGTTAATAGAATGCTATTTAAACCAGCTTTTACTTTATGTCGGGGAAACTGTGATAAAATGGTTCAACAAATGCGCCGAGAAACTAAAGTTAATTGTTGTAAAAGATAAATGTACACATTGCGGACCTATGAGACTGCGTATCGCCGCCAATCGTAAATACCCAGAATGCTGGGAGGCTTCCCAATTACTTATAAATCACAAACTGTTTGTTTTTTTTACAAATAATGAGATGTAAAATATGTTTCGTCAAAGAGAGAGAAGTGTATTTTAATTTTGTGATCAAATTGCTTATTCTTAAGACGCAGTAAACCAATCACCACAGCTGAAAGAATGGACGTCATTAGTCTCCGACCTCCAGACCCAAACGCAAAGTCCAGAGAAAAAAGCAATGAAAACCATTATTGCTATAACAGTTTGAAGAGAGGAAACAATAAGGCCGTCCGTCGGCTGTTAAAGGCACTGGAATGTCAACAGATGATCATAACCTCTTGAGTATGGGGAATTACTTGATTGCTTTGACGGACAAATCCAGCAAATTGTGGCCGGAATCAGTCATTGTGAGATTAGACAATGCGCGTAATATGTATTTTCATTTATTCCGCTTCGTTACTAATAACGTAACAGCATATTCTAGTGTATAAATTCACATTCGCCATCCACAATCCTCCATTGTGCTCCCGACGAACGCTCAAAACGTCAGCTCTTTCAAGATCGCTAGGGCGGTTATTAACCGTTATCAACTCTACGTTGATAATCATTGGAGTGTTTCCCTTGCCTGTCGAAACCATCAAACGGTTTCTTCAGAACTAATAATTTTATTCACTGACGTCTCCATAGGCTCGATTTCCGCCGCTCTCTTAAGTCCGGTCTAATGTTTCAGGCTTCCCTGTCTCCATTCCGAACAACGGCTGTTAGCCTAATGACAGACTGCAAGGCTGATAACACGTGATAGATGACGTAAGCCGCCCAAAACTCTACAGAAAACGTCGAAGACTCTTTCAACCAAGTCAGACGTAAATATATACCAACGAAACTTCCAAGAAAGCTTTTGTCCTGACCACAATGTGCGGTCCTCTTCTAGCTGAATAATTTTAAACGGAACGGCATATTTCAAATGTTATTGATATTTATTTGCCAGTTAATGAAAGCGGAAAACGTATTTCAACCCTTCCGCCCGCGTAGGGGAAACTGATTTCTTTTGATTTTACAGGGTGTTTACTGATCAATCAGAACTCGCTTGCGGCCTCAATTGTCTTATAAATATACGATAGTACAGGCGCTGCGACTTCAAAAAAGCCAATCGCACGAAGAAATAGAGAACGAGCAATACCTTACATTTGTTTGAAAGTTCCTGAACAACCAGGAAGTAATAAACACCGGAAACCGGAGTTTATTAATAGCACGTTACTTGTACATCTAATTAAGCCACTGAATGAAACGCAAATACATGAGTACAGTATCTTTCAGTCCGGAAAACTGCAAAAGATTGTCACAGTTAGATTCTGGTGAGTTTTCTTGAGGTAAAGCTATTTACAGACGATATATTTAGTTGCAAAGGTCTTGTAATTAGTTGTTGGTGCCGTTGTTTATCAGATTCTTTGTTTTTCGTGATGTGTTCCGCATTAGAAACGAATTAATTGAGCCACGTTGCCGATGTAAACCGAGGAACGGTTGGTTATCATCAACAATTTATAGAACGCTAAAACATTGAACATCATTTCAACAGCATCGAAGCGAATCACACCGTGTCTTCCATTCACTTCAGGCAGGTGTGGGAAAGCTAGCCGTACAGTGAGGAACAAATTCAAATTATTACTGATTCACCTGTTTATACTTTCAACGGTAATAAAACCATAATTACCAAACTTTTTAGTCACAGACGGGACAAGAAAAAATTACAGCATGGAACCATAAATTAAAAGAAAAATAGCAACAAATCCTGGAATCTGGCAGGCTCCAGAATTCAGAATTCTTGAAAAGATTTTTTTCCCTGAAAATACAACATCCTGTCCTAGATATTACAGACCAACCTTGAGTTCGATCCGGATAAAATGAGACAATGTTTATTTTCGTGTGTTGCTGCTAAGTTTTCTCAAATAAAATAGCTGTTCAGTTTTGCTTCAATCGGCAGAGCAAACCTTAACCTTTATTTTCCGTTGTTCAATTATTTGGCCTTTTGAGAGACTCCGGCGCTGTTATTGTGTAAAGCATGGCTTTCGTGATGAAATGGAAAGAGGAAATGGAAATCAATGTGCGTCAGCTCGGGTCAAGTGTGCCTTGAAGCGATTTTTCTAAGTTCTTTGTGTTTTACTGACTTAGTGATGAAAATATTTTCGAGAAAAAGCTCATAGAGGTCAAGCTTTTAGTATCAACATGTCCTGTACTGGCGCACTTGTTACCTTGAATAACAAATATCATTATTTGGACATTATTGGTTTCGAAAATTTTTGTGTCATGAATTTTCTAGAATCGAAAATTACACATTTGATTTCCAGAGGCACAAACAAGTGTCTTTGTTTACTGAAAGAAGTGATAAGATTTAACTTTTAACGTTTTCGCTGACAAAACCTAGTTACGTCAAACCATTCAGTTTATTTTCCACTAGAATTTTTTTTTTTTAAATACAAAAACATACCATTACTTCCTGTGGTAAATAGTGAAAAGGACAAAAGATTGAGTATGTGGAAACTGAATAGCTTCTTGAAAACCCAGTCAAGCTGACAAAAGAACTTCCTGGCCATGAATAGAAATTGTTATCTCTAAAATATTTGTCAAAAATTCAAAATTATAATAGGATGGTAGGAAACACAACAATACTGGAACAACTGTGCTCGACAAATGACGTCAGCAAGTAAGGATTACTCAGCAACGAAAGAAATATTTTCAATTTGAATTATAAGCTTAAAAACGCGCGTTTGATCACCTTTTCAAGTTTAGCCAGCGTGGAATCTCAGTTTTAAATATATATATTTTTTATTAAAGTTAACTCCTACAGACGGCAACCTGAGATGCATTATTACATTAATTGAAATCCACCAACTGATGTTACGACTCATTAATTATCCTCAATTTACTCTGTGTTCGGCAAGGGAAAACGCATTGAAACTAAACTGTGTTGCGTGCCTTATTCCTGTGTCTTGCGTGGTAAACGTAGAACAAAGGTCGAGTTTTGGTTGGTTTCTGCTATGTGTTCCTTCCAGTGTCTTTGAGTTGATTATCCTTTCAGGTTGTGCGCAAAAAAGGTCTCTTGTATGAAAGTTTATGTTTTAAAGCCTATCAAAACTTATCGGTGTAATACACTAGGAGCTTTATCACGGACATCTGTGAAGCGCCACTTTTAAAATCACGTACAGTTTCTAGTGCAGCTTCTAAGGCAGTTTCTAGCCCGCTTTGGCAATGTATACTTACATGACAGAGCTTCCAGAGCTCTTATTTCCTGTCGGGTTATTTTCCACCTGCGTCCACGTATCCAGGTGTGCTGTTATTACCTCATTCCATCCGCGATATCCGGTGATGCTTGGCTTATAAAGTTCAGTGTTACCCTAGCCGAAGAAATAAGGACCGATAAACGCTAAGACGAGTCGATCAAATACTGTATAAACGAAGATCAATTCATTACCCTCAGTTGTCGATAAATGCGGGCTTCGTATAAAATACTAATGAACAAGGTAGAGGCAACCTATACAACACACAAGATCAGAAAAAGGTGGTTTTTGTTTTTATTATGCCTGCACTGGGAAGGTCAGCGAAAACAAAGGTTTGGTCTGAACAGCCCGGCAAACTCATCCTATGCGATCAGCCAAGTGAATGCGATGGAAAAGGTCAAACGCTGCAGTATAAACTGTCGATTATGAAACCGTTATTTATTTTGTTTTGTTTTACAAACTGAAATGAATGAATCAGTCAGAAATTGAAGCGATGAATAAGAACCATATTTCGACATGTTACAGCTAGAAAAGCAGTTAGTCCATTAACGGAATCCCGCCTTTGGTAACGTCACTTCACTTCACTTCACTTAATTTTGCACTTACATTTTGAAATTACAATATTAGCATGAAAAAGAAAAAAAGATACATATATAACAATTAAAGGTGACAATGGTATATACAATGGTATAACACGATGTCTAACACGAAAGTTAAAAACTGGATTCCCGTTTTCTGAATAATATATACAGCACCAATTAATAGCTTGAAAATTGCCACATTATTTACTAGAGTTTGTCTGCTAATTGACCAGTAAGGTTCAATAATTATTTATTTATTCTATTCTTACAGATCTACCTACCTAGCACGGTAAATGACACGCCCGCTATACATTTGTTATCAGGTTAAATGTAATTCATACTAATGAGGAAATCAAGGTCGCGCCTTCTTGGTCAACAGAATATCAAAACACGTTAAAGTTCTGTTCTTCCTAGTTATACAGGGTTCATTACTGCAAATGAAATTAAGTTATTCTCTGATTATAAATATAGCTTGCTGTGGTTTGTTAATCGTAAGCCTGGAGCAAGTCTTAAGATGCAATATCAATGAAGCAATGATAGAAAGCAAAGGCGTTGAATTAATCTACCGTGGATGTTCCAGTCACCTTTGCCTCTGACCATTAAACCATGAAACAGTCTGTACCAAGACGTTTTATATTCTTGACAGCGCGCGAGAGCAAGCACCGAGTTTCCTACCTGCCACCCTTTGCGTTCTCGCTCGGTCAAATCCCCCGGGGTTAATATTTTGCTTTCAGGTCTCGACGAACTTGTAAAAAAAAAAGACGATTTGTTAACAGACTAACCACGAAGTGCTTATTAAATACTAATATGTGTTTTTCGTTATGGATAGTTAAAAGTCATGCTTATTAAATCTGTCAGTTATATTGCATTGTAAGTTTGTGCTTCGGAGAATTCATTACGTCATTCTTGCAAAAACACGCGTTCGTTGCGGAACAAGTCATTTGTCGCGCAAAATTCCATGAGAACAGGCTACACGCTTTGCAGCAGGTCCAAATTCAGGTAAATGTCCAACGGTTTGAGAGACCAATACAATTCTAAAACATCTTACTACAGGAAATGCATTATGCCTCTATACACTAGTGCTTCAATGTATGTTTTTGCTTCATTTCACTTCAGGCAGACGTAGGGTGCGGGATGAACACATCTCCTTCCAAACACTGCAATGAATTCTTATTTTCATCGACGCTCATGTGGCTGCGGTACTTTTCGTCCATGGCGCTGTCATGTTCCTTGGAATTCCACCCCTTTCAGCGTCTGCTCTAGGAGCCGTGGATTTAGTTATGGAGAACTCGAGCACGTGTTACCTACGAACAAGAAAACAGGAAGTCTTAATTGTAAGTAGTTTCAAGTGTTTTTTTTTCTTAATGAAACCAGTGTTTGTTGTGTAGAATATTGAAACACAATGTTTGCTGAAAACCTTAAACCCGAACATCTTAGAAGCATCATCTTGAGTTGTGACAGGGAGGAGTAATATTTAAACAAAGAGTGATTAAGTAGTTGATGTGTCTGCAGCCAAAACAAAACAAGCGAAGAGTGAAATCATGCGAGACCTGCACTTTGCGCTTTTTTCACAATCCTCTCTTTCAGTCCTCTCTGTGACTTTCGTTCAGCCTGGCAGTTTGTAGAGAAAAGAATTTAAAATCATTTTTTAACACGTTAAGGGCCAATTTGTCAAATTGCAATAAAGCTTTAAATTCCTTTAATTACAACCGCTCAAACAGCTCAGAAACTTCGACACCAACTCGACAATTTTATATTTACAACCGAGCACGTTTCTTGAGGGTTGTATGCCTCTTGTAAGATCAGCATACAATATCGCCAGACAAAGAACCCTGACGTAATAGCTGAAACCAACGACGCGTGCAGATTATGACGTAATTTTGAAACAATAAAAACAGCGACAGATTATACATTTTTCAGGACGTAAAAGCTCGTAACTAAGAAAATATGTTTTGTTTCTTTGGCCAAAAAATGAGAGCTGAGCACGTACGGAATTTAAAGATCACCCGGCACCAATTACCGGAAAAGCTTTATTGAGTTCATTTCTTGTCAATACCGATTGAGGAAATAGAATGGAGAATTGTTAGAGTGAGGAGGCTGTTTAATATTAAGGCAATAATTAAACGCGGTGCTGTATAGAAAGGAAGTGTATTTCGGAAAGTAATCATAACTAATACGTTTTAATTTATTCAGTGTGTTCTCCTTCACCCACAGTAAATACAACAAGCTGCAATATGTCTGACGACTTTTTCCTCCGGCCATTCTTGACAAGAGAAGAATACTCATATTGGAACAGCCATTTTGGCGGCCTTTCGTCCTCTTGCAGTTCATCCACATCTTCATGCGCATGGTCTTGCGCATGCGTTTTAAACACCAAAGATAACACAACTTTGACGTATCAGCACATGAAACCTTCTGTTTGCGCCAGAAATGCCCCAGGTCAACCATGTACAAAACCCCTGTTTGTTGATCGCCCTGTGTTGCGCATCCAAAGCACCAGTGACGGCTTCTGCAGTAACACAGGGTTGGTTACAAAGCCATCTGTCTCCGAAAAGGTCGCATCGACCGCCAGCTGTGGAAGAATGGAAGCTAACGCTCTCCGCTGTAACTATTCAATGAGTACGAGTTCTAACATGAAAAGTCCCAGTGGATGCACACTCAATAAGGACAAAGGAGCCATCGAAAGTCGTTCCCTTGATGAGAGATCAATCCTGCCTCCACACCAAACTGGAAGAAGCCGTCTTAAAAGATTCTCCAACAATGGCAATTCAACCAAGGATTGTGGTGCTCATCAAGGACTGACCCCAGAATTGAGAAGACGACTCAGTGAAAGATACCTCTGTGGAGACAAGAGCTTTGAAGAAAATCCTGCTGCACTTTCCTCGCCGACCAGCCATGAATGCGTCAAAACTAGACCCGCTGATCTCTGCAGTCCAAGTAATACTTTAGTTACAAGTTCAGGCCCAGAGTCAGTAACCACTGATTCTTGTCCAGTAAAAAGAAAGTCAACAAGTGGATCAGAAAATGCCCGTGATCCGAAAGAAAACGGCAAAAGACCACGCGCTTGCGATGACGTAGAGGAAACTAACAAAGCTCAAGCACCAAACGAGACCATAAATTTGAATGACACGTTAACTAGCTTCCTAGATGGACCTCTTTCAAGAAGCATCTGCCGCGGCAAAAGCGCAAGTTTTAAGATTAACGAGTCACGTGGGAAGCGCAGATCACGAGGAATGAAAAGATCACGCGGGGTAGCAAAGAGACGCGTCCAAGGTCGACCTGCAGAAAAAAATAACACCACCATTACTTCCGAAGGCCGATGTGAAATCAGTAGTGCCAAGAAAACCAACTATCAACACGGAGTTGAAACTCACAGCATAACTCAGCCCAAGATTGTACGCACTTTTAGCCTGGCTGACGTTGCGGTTAAGTCAGGTGACGGCAAGCAGGCTCTAAAAGATGGAAACAAACCTTCTGAAAAAAAGCACATTGGCGACGTTATCAACGCTGAGAAGCCTGTTCATCGGGGATTGTTGAAGAATACCAAATCCTCCCTTTGTGGCAGTTATGCTTTAGATTATGAATCCCTGCCAAAACTTATCAGCGTACTTTCCTCGCCGATGGCTAAAGTTGTATCGAACTTGAAGACATAAATCTGATTTATGCAACTAGTTTAACATTTCATCTCAGTCAATAGCATTCATCATTAATCGTTTCTTGCGATTTGAAGACTGTCACACGTTACAACTAATTCGTGGTAACACTCATAACCCCTTTAATTAAGCGCATGGCTTAAAGTTTAGTACACAGTGATAGGAGCATATATCAGTGATTTAAAAAATTATCCCTAGTATTACAGGGCCATTATCTTGGCTAGTTCCGAATAAAGAGTTTTTATATCTACCCTTATTTTGTTATTAACTCAGTTTAAGTCCATCAGAACTTTCGCTTAAAACGCATAGTGGAATCGTAAATACGTTTATAAGATTAGGATGAAGCGGTTTTGACTTAATTTCGTAAAACCAACCCTGCACCCATGTGCCCAATCACAACCTACTCTGGAATAAATAGTGTGCTGAATGAACTTACAGTGTTAGCCGCTGGAATACTATGGAACACTTACGAGAATTTATTAAAAATATTTTGGCATTTACCTATATGATAATGAATTACTCCTGATCACGCGTGCAATATAATTATGTAAGTAAAACCCAGCAACAAGTATGTCAATTAACTACACTTTATTTTATTATTCATAAGAAGTTAAATTTAAATAATTACTCACAAACGGTTGCAAAAAAATTGTCTGTTTTTTTCGCACGCGCGTGCGGTGTATTGCGCCGCATCAACATGCACTCTAGCATGAAGCGCGCGAATTTTGATGTTCGGTACGTGGTGTTTGTATAATGTTGTTTCGGCCTAGGTCCATCGAAAAAATACCGTGTGCAGCCTCGCGAGCCCGGTGAAAATTACTCCTAATAGAGCTCGGTGGAAAAATACAATAGAGGCGCCATGCTCTTCTACGGTGTTGAGATGGCAAAAGAGTGAAAAGAGAACCCACAGACTGTTGCATGGAGGGGACCCCTATCAAAATTTAGAAAGGCAAATTTATTTTTTTAAAATCTGCGAACAAGAGGTTGAACTATAAACGAAACAAAGTTAGCGTTTCAAGTTTGGCCTACTGTAGTCAAAATTCTATTTTGAAGTCCATTTTCATCCTCGCCATCGTTCGTCATCAGTTCTTTACTTTCGTCTGCTCTCATTTGTGAAGTGCTGTCATCACAAAAGCCAACAGATAAAAAATTTTCTTTTTTCCCTTTTTTGTTTCAATCCACATAAATAGCTATTTGCACAGTGGCGCTCCTCCCTCGCAGGAGGAACCTAGACCAGACCGAGCGTAGGTTTAGCCTAAGCTGAATATTCCTATTTTTCTGCCGATTTGTAGTATTCTTAATTATAGCTTATGACATTTAATTCAACATATGGCTTTTTGTTTTACTTGTCTCCTGGTTTTGTTTTTTAAAAAAGAAAGAATTTATCATGAAAATTTTGCGGTTTAGTTGATGTCTTTTGCATCGCACGTATTTTGTACTGCACAAATGCATTACACGTACCGCTTGTCATTGAAAATTTGGCTATCGCTAGTGAAGAGTGTTCCGTTTGTTGGCTAATTTTGTCGTTTAGAGAAATGAATAATCTTACACAGTTAAGTAAAAACATATCATTGTATCGTATTTACAGATTTTGAACGCACGAAATTATATTCTTTTCACAATTTCAGCCTCAGGTTTATTCTTAAAATATTCTTAAAATTTCGCAAATTTCAGCCTCGATATTCTTATAAAATATATTCTTATAAACAAGAAAGAGTGTACGGACCACTAAGACGGACCGCCCACGAATTAATTTCGGCAAATTACTTTTTCAATTCATTGCACAAAATAAACATTTTTTTCTTGTTAAGTAGAAATCTTTTTACCGTCATGTCTGGAGGACAATTTCAGTTAAGTGTGCACAAAAGCGACGTGAGAAACGTAAATAAATGTTTACCTTTCGAGGGCACGACTAGCGGGAAAGGATCGCGGAGACGCACTAATTTATCAGCAGATTTGAAAGATCCATCATAATAATTGAACTAGCTTGTTCGGCCCGTGTTGGAGAATATTGATCTTGTTCATTTTTGCAGGTTTATAAACATTGCCTGCGGCTCGGTCCATAAACCTGCAGAAAAAGAACTCGACCAATATGTTAATTCAGTAACATATAATTTTTTTAGACTTCCAGACTGCGTACGTGAGTGTATGGTTACAATGACCCTGGCTAGCGGTTTGGATGTCGGATGCGCTTTTAAGATTGTTTATTCAAGTCAAAATTAGAGGCTTTTAATATTTCAAAAAGAAATCGTCTGTAGAAACTTCATTAGAAAGTTTGGATAACGGCTTCTTTTCACTTCAAAGCTGTCAAATTCTATCGTACTAAATGCTATTCCTCCTTCTGTCCCGACCGGCCGCTTTTACGTTTGTTCCAAGTCCGGTTCTTCTTTTATAGGAAGCAACCTTCGATACCAGGGTCACTTTCGCGCGCGTTAAAACGGAAGAGATACTAGCTGCGCAAGCGCGAATTTTCTCGTTTTCATCACTCCTCTTTCTTCGACATTATGGTATTGCTCTCTCTGTGTGAATTTTTTTTCCTCAACGAGTTGTCTTTATTAGTCGAAGCCATTTCGCTTTCTTTGAAACCCAATTAAAAAAAAATTATATCTTTAAGACATATTTAACATCGTAATTTTTGAAACAATAATATCTTAAAACGTGTATTTACCCTCACCTGTGACTTATATAAACATGCTCTTTGTTGATGGCTTTCATTTTAGCATTAGCATAAGTAAACCGTCGGAGATCTTTTCACGACGTTTTCTTAATAGGTTTTTGACTTGTCACTAGGTTGATTAGTGCGAGTTTCTAAATGTGTTATGTGACACAGGTTTGAATAGAAAAACAGCTATCGGTGAGAAAGCTTGCAGAATAGCTCTATTTTAGAGATACTTTGGCGAAAAATCTCTTTTAAATGTTCATAATAATTATTTCTATGACTTAAAGAATTGAAGTCGTTGACAAGGATGTGTCATCTCAAGTATGTTTCATATGCAAAATACCTGCTAATTGTAAAAAAACAAAAAAGATTAAAAAACCGATCATGTTTCACTGTTTGTTATTATAACTGTCATGTTCCGAAGTATATTAATTCAGACACTTCGTCTTTTAACTTTAAACCGCGCTTAGAGATTGAAGGTTTTTCTCCGTTGCCCCCTCAGGTTGAAACCTCTTTTCGTGGTCTTCATAGCTCAATATTTCTGTCGAGAAGCCCGAAAACCACTGAAACTACAATATTGACGGGAAGAGGATCTTCAGAAAAAACAATTACGGTGTCTTAAGTCCGGGCTCTTTCTCAGGGGAGAATCTAAAATACTGAAAAGAGACAAGAAAAACTGGACAGAACGCTTCTTCAATCAAGTGGAATGGATCAACCACAGTCTCTCGGCAAGGTTCCCACATCTACAAACATGAGCGCTGATATACTGCACAGTTCAAAAAGTATCACCGATCCTTGGTATTGGATAAGCGCTGCTTTGATCGAGGTTCTTATCTTGTTAGCGAACGGTGTTCTTGCAGTGATCATCATAAAGTCCTCAAGACTTCATCATTCGGCCAACTGGTTCATTCTTTCGCTGGCAGTGTCCGATTTGTTCTTCGGAGTAGTGGTGATACCATCTACTATGATGTGCAAAGTTTGGCTGTCTTGCAACAATGACGTGCAATGGGTACTCTCTGATCTTGTCGTTTATGTATCGATTGCCAATGTCTGTGTGATGAGCCTTGATCGTCTGGCCGCAGTCGAATTTCCGATGAGGTACCAGATCATGGTGGTGCCCCGTGTTAAGCAGTGGATAATTCTCTCCTGGGCGGTTCCCGCCATTGTGTCAGTTGTTCCGTTCTGTTGGATGTTTGCCCAAAGTGGCGCAGCCATCGTGCAAATAAACAAAATATTCCGCGCGGTGCAACTGCTAGTTTTCGAACTAGTACCATGCTTAATAATGGTTGTCGTCCATGGCCGTATCTTTGCAATACGCCGAAAACACACTCGACAAATTGGTTTGCAACTAATTCAACTAAGCGCGGCGTCGACTGATTCAATTCATCGCAAACGCAGGAAACGCCCAAACTACAGAGCGAAGAAATCATTAGGAGTTACAGCCGCGTTGGTGTTCTTTTATGTCTTTTGCTGGTTTTTCTCTGCGGTCTTGACATCATGCCGTCATTTTGAAATCTGTGAAGTTTCTGACGCAGCTCTGCTCGCGACTTCCCTGTTGGTCTTTCTTAACCCTGCAGTGAACGCTTTCATATGTTTGTTTATGAAGACTGACATTCGCAACGAGCTGCGGAAGGTTTTTTGAACGTTTTTGAGGACTCTTTTAAGGTGGCCGAACAGAGTTTTCGCGTGCGCTTTGGCTGATGCAATTCAGCGCGCGCACAAGGATTGCAAAAAACAAACATGCCGTCAATAGCGCGATCATTTTATTTACTCAACACCCGCACTATCTGTGCTATTTTTCTCTATAATTGAACGCAGTGTATTGATGGCTTTAGTCTTTTATTACAAAGATATGTTAGAAAAGGTAACGATGCAAAGAACCCAGCAATTCTCAGCTTTTTCTTTGTTACCGAAAGACCCCAGTTAAATGCAGCGCATGCGTAGTAAGTCGAAAAAGTGTGATTGAATGAAAAATTGCACTCTCGGAGATACGCCTATTTCTCGAGAACCACTCATTAGAATTTCACAAAATTTGGCACGAAAATACTTTAGGAAATAAGTAAATGGAGTATTGAAAATAAATGAACTTTAATTACAAAGGAAAATCAAGATATTCCAGTAAACCTACAACAAGGGATAATTAAAGATCTCTCTGTTAAATTATTAGCAAAATAGTGTTAACTTGTGAGAATCGTTAAAAGCCTGTTGCATGCAAATTATAAAGAAAATCTAATGACTAGATTTTCTACAACTAAGCAAAACCGATTTTAAAGGCCTGGCAACGACACATACGTCAGCTTAACCATCAAAAAAGCATAGTTTGTGTTGTTAACCTGCTTGCTGCCATTTTTGACGACCGAGGGATCAACGATTTTAGAGAAAAAGGTGGATGAAAACACAGGTATCAAAAACTGTGTTCAACCACCTTAAACACCTTTTCCCGTTGAGATTGAAACTGATTCCACAGAAGAGCGTCTTTAAGAGGCAATAGGAAGCTTTAGCAAGTCACGACGGGGACGGCGACGGCGACGGCAACGAGAACGCACACCAAACAGAAGGTTTAATGGTGAGAACAATAGTTCTGCACAATGTTCTGTGCGTACGTTTGAAATCTTGGTACATTTCTAAGCCGTCTTCCGCAAAACAACAACGTGAAATGACCAAGTTCTACGTATTTTGGATAATGCGAACCGCAATGGCTAATTTTTCGTATCTTCCTTTGCAATTGAACGCTGTCATTGCATATTTAGCCTGAGCATGTTTTCAGCCCGACTGGCGTACTGAAAAAATCTGCACAGTTGAGACGGCGTCGCCGTCATCGCATATCATTGTTAAAACTCCCTAATATCATGAAAACGACTTCGCAAAGTCAGAACTCAGAAGATATATTTTCATTGATGGAAACCTAAAAAAAAATATGGTTAGTTTTGAGAAGAATTTCAATAGGAGAAGGAACATTTTGTGCACGAGCGAAGGTACTTAGCCGGTCATATTAAATGTTGGCACTGTTTTGACCTATAAAGGAGCAGCACAAAAGAAATAGCTGAGCTAAAAAAAAACAGCTAACCGTCCATACTTTTGACCTGAAGTAGACTCAGCCTAGTTCATTTGCTGTATCGTTGTACGGTGAACGCAATGAATCTTGAGTCGGCTTTATTATTTAATCATTAGAACCGTGCCCAATCAGCTTTGTGTAATTAAGTACTCGGTGTAGATCAGATTAGATTTTATATCCAGTCAGTAAATAAATACCAGTATGAAGCAGAAGTGGATAGTTTTTCGGACAGGAAATAATCCGTTTGGTAGTTTAAACTAACGGTGTCGTAATAGTCAGTAACATCAACTCATTTCTGTTAGTTCTATTTGAAAATCTTTCCCGGGGTCACTTTTCGAAAGAATCAGCTAGGCGAGTGAGTAAGTGCAGCAATGTTTCATTTACTGTTTGGAAGGAGAGTAAGTCTTTTACTTTCAAGTTACTGTAATGACTTCCTTTTATTTTTATTTATTTTATTAATTATTCTAAACAGCGTAATCAATTATCTCGTTGCGCTTGCCAGTGTTGTATTTCAAAAGCTGGTTTAACATTCAACAATTTGTCTTACACTCAGTTTTCTCAAACTTATCCCATACGGGATCATGATAAAATAGTATTGAACAATCATCTCTGTCAATATCATAGCTTTAGTCTTGAATTAAAAATGACCAAACAAATACGTTTTTCACTGTTTATATGGCTTTATTTGCGATTTTCTTGAATTCCCTTCGGTGAAATCTACATCCACTCCGGTGGGAAACGAATTTTAAATACGAAAAAAATAGCGTTTGTTACTCGCCGATACGTCTTTTTTACAAATTAATGTCTTTTCAAGCCGCGGAAATACTGGTCAGCTAGATTTCCAAGAAAAATGAGCTCCAACCAAAGTAAAATGTTTATAACAATTTATGAGGGAACAGGCCCTGGAACAGAAAAAGAAGTCTCCCCAGGCTTCTTCGAAAGTCAGTTGATTATAATGAGCAGGCCAGACCCTATGTTTTCTTAAACAATGTCTCCTCGTTTGGCCACCGGGGCAGCAAAACATTTTGTTTGCTTCCCGCTAATTGAGCCACCTCGGGAAACATAACAAGAACCAATGTTTGCCCGGCCTTCAATATTGCATTGCGCATCCCTACTGCGCACGATTATTGCGTCATTAGCGCGCGCACTAGCCTGCGTTGTAGGCATAAACGAGGAAGAGGAAGGGTTACGGAGGCAGAAAAACGCGGGGAAGGAGGTAAGGAAATGCCTGCTATAAGAACCGGGCTTTTCGCGTTACGCCCACCAGTTTTCATGTGATCCGATTTCATCAACTGTAAATTGCTGTCAACAGGTTCACCAATCAAAAACTAGCGCGCGCTTCTCGGCATAACCGACTTCCTGTGTGAATTTAGTCAATTCAAATATTCGCGGAGTAATTAATTATCGAAGTGTGCGCGTGCACGTACACAACGTAACTGAGATTTCCCTCAAGCTATGCTCGACAGCGAAATAAATGCTCGTTTCCTCTTAAACGAGCATCGTGACCGATATTTTAATTGTATAATTTTGGTACTTTGAGTTAAAAATGCTCGGAAGGAAAAAAAGATATAGCTAAAAGAGTGCACAAAACCACCACTCGAAGATGCGAATTAAGACTTTCAAAACAACGATTCGAGAAACGTATTGAGTCAATAGAGTTTAGAATTGAGTGATTTTTCCAAAAATTTTATATTACATTGTTCCAAGTACCCGAGACTTTCTCTATGTCAAGATTTTTTCAAGTATTGCTTTAATGACCTTTGCTCCCATGCCAGCTACCACAAAATGTAACGTGAACTGAAGAAATAACGCGCGTGGTTAGGCATAAATGGGGTAAGATTGGCCCATCATATCTCGTAAGCGAGTAAGGCGACCTATCTTTTTTAAACTCGTGGATACGCGAAGCGTAGAAACGTGTTTGTTGCGGGAACTCTGATATGCAAATGTGTCACTCACTCACTCACTCACTCACTTAGGTGTAGACACTGCTCGTAATTAGTCGGCCCGAACGAGAGTGCCCTAGTCCGGCGCCAGGTAGGAATAGCAACCGCGCCCGACGCCATATTGGAATAGCAACCGAGCCCGACGCCATATTGGAATAGTAATCGTGCAGTCAGTGCGAGCCTACTACTCAATGCGTGCATCGTGCCAGCCCGAATATTGATGATTTTGTAGCTTTTACACGACCATTAATATTAGGTGTTTCGCGAAATTAATTGAAGTGGAGTTGACTTCGAAAGTTCGAATTAGTACTATGGCCAACTTGAAGGATGAATTTCAGGAGCATTTGAGACGTTCAAAATGACTAGGAGATGTGCATTTGTCTGCTGGAAAGTGACCTGAAAAGCTAATGTGGTAAGCTTTGATGAGAACGTGTCTTATTCCTCGACCTTAATGAGCTTATATGAGCGAAACGAACAACTTTTAATGAACGAAACAGCCATTGAATACAAAACAAACAACGGCACCATTGTATAATATTGTAATTTCATTTTTATAATTTAGTAACGTCTAAACCTGAGACCAGCCGAAATATTGTTTTAACTCTACGACGTTGTGTCAGCCTTGCAGTAGTGACGTATTATCGTTTTACTTTTCAAGTTTGGCTGATTAGATCTGCTGTGAGATCCAACGTTCAATCAAGCAGGACCTTCGTTCACCGCTTTGCAGTTTAAACACTTAAGTTTTTCATGTTGTTGTCCATGTTCAACCGGTATCGAGTTGTGTTCTCTATAATTGTCTTGTTTATTTTAGTACATTGATCTGAACTCTAAGTGGGATGTGAAATGCACATAAACTTGGAAAGACACTCCCAAATACTTGATTTTGATAAGCTTAAATTATTTTTACCTGTCTTTTGTTTACACGTTTGCTTCCTGATTGAAAAGATAACAAAGGGAAAGACTGTGACCCCCTGTGAGCTTGTCCCCAATTATTAGTTAATACTAATTACATTGACACTTCAATGAAGCTGTTATTATTATTTTTGGAACACATATTTATGGTKGACAGATTTGRCGGATCAACYCTGAAAATGTTTGCAAAAGAGMCTACTTATTTTGATATATTTTACGTGCAATATATATAGAGACAAGCGGTTCCATATTGGAAAAGAAGTGCTGTCTCATAAGAAACCTTACCTAAAACCTTGAATGAAATGCAATGAAAAACGTTTGTGAACTCGTACGACTTGAATGCATGCAAATTTTTCCAGCAGGCAGATCAACATTAAGATCTGGGTGTGAGGGAAGGGGGGGAGGGGGGAGAGTACTCTATGATTTGTTGGGGAGGAGTGTCCTCTGTGACCCAAGAACCCTTAGCCTTTACCACTTCATGTTTTGCTGCAAGTTTGCCACCCAAGCTATTCTGGACGTATGTCTTTGTGATATGTGTGCAAAAAAAAAAGCCAACGAAAAAAGCCTACACTTTGTGAGTTAAGTGCGACCTTGCATGGTACAAACCCGGCTTGTTTTAACAGCATTTAATAATACACCAGTAATTGCAAGTTCACCAATATGTTTCATTTCTAGATTACCTAATCCACGAGTTTGGCCATAGGTCTCCTTTGATTATTGTATTTTTCGAAGCAGTGCTAAGAAGAGAACATTCAGAGAAAGTTTCAAAAAAATTTATCGGCAACTTTTAATTCTGAGGAATTACCTTAAAAGTATAGGGAGCCTGCTTGCGGGCGTGCACATTCTCTCCCCAGGCCATCACTGTTTCCGCATCAAACCAACTCCGCCGCGCGCGCAGAATCTCATTGTGTCGTCAGCCCCACGCGTATAGAGCGTTGTGCGACAGAATTCAGAATGATAAAGGACCATTTCAACGGACAACGAAAACGCGTCTTTCATAGTTCCGTTAGAATTTAAAAGACTGCTGGAGTGAAAAGATAAGAAACATACCTTGTTTTCAAAAGATTAGTGAAGGTGAGTTAAGATTTTTTTATTTATTTTATTTCATTTTCCTTTAAATTCCGTTAGAATTTGAAAGATTGCTGGAGTGAAAAGATAAGAAACATACCATGTTTTAAACGGATTAGTGAAGGTGAGTTAATTATGTTCTAAATGATTTCTGACTCATCTTGCTATTCCCTGCTTCATATCTCGGTTAAAATTAATGATTTATAGTGACAATTTTTTATGAGAATTTTTAAAACCTATTTGAAAATTTTGAATTCGCGAAATGATTTAATGCTATGTTCACACTATTGCGTTGTTTTGTTGATGCATTTTACCTCTACCGAGTTGTGCCTATCGGCCACACTTATGCGGTAGGGATCAATTTTCAAATGTACATGTCTTCCACTCTGGATAGTGTTAGTGTGAACGGACTTCAGTAACCCCCAAAACATATCTTCTATGGTTTGTGTATTTTATTTGGGGTATGGCAAAAAGATCGAATTGAAATTTAGCACGTACTTAAAACAACGCCGGTGTTTTTGTGAATAAATTGGTTATATGGTCTATGCAAAAATGGTCAACTACCTTGTAAGAAGTTTCTTTTTCGCCTCGAGATATTAAGGATATCGAAAGTAACATAGTAACAATAGTAACATGACTAAGCGGAGTCCATTTCGGGCTCTTAAAATAAGAGAGATAAAAAAACCGAAATAAAAAGAATTACATGCAGAATTTCTATTTTGCCATGATTAACAATACGTCTATTAACATAACTAGAATTTGACAGCAGTAAATCCTGTCCATGAACCGTCCATCGTACTAGAGAAAAATTTGCCAAAAAAAAAATGGGTTAAGTTTTTCGGCGAATAAAAATATAATAATTACAACTGAGATCCGCCTGGAAAGAAAGCCATTTAATTGTCAGAAAGAGCACGTGTTCATGACGTGTGCTGTCAAATTCATTCAAGCGTGACACATACGCTGTCCTAATAAAGCATAATAAGCTCCGCTGACAACCAATCAGATTCGAGAATCGTTTTTTAAGTTTGAATAAGTGTTAAAGGATAACAGAACCAATGTGGCAGCCTCGAAGAAAAGCCCTTCATATTCTCACGAGATGGTCAGGATTGTCCCTAGCAAGTTAGCCTACGTGTAGCCGTACCCATCGGCTACACGTAGGCTATAGCAAGTAGATTTACCGCTCAGAGTCTTTCATCGGTAGCTGTCAGGAATCTTCGAAGTAGGTTTGACCTCCACGAACAAAGTTATCCAAGAATGCACTCTGTCTAGACCTAATAAATGAAAATACAGTTATTTTTGATCTCTTACCAGTCTTACGACCTCAGTTTTAAAGAGCAGGGAATGGGGAAATAAAACTCACAATCACTTTTAGTTAGTGGAGCCATCTTCTATTTGCCAGGTAATAATCACGATGGATATAACATCTGCCTCATCCTCGAGCCGCGAGGCTGCAAGGAGATCATCCTCCAACGTTTCCCATCCGTCAACTGGGGCGAGCCAGGTAGTCTTGCCAATGGATGGTTCGACAAGCCGCTCTCAAGAAATCACCGCTGGTAAGTTAGTTACCCTGTGTTACCCTGAGGTTTAAAGCGTGCAAAAGCTTGCGTTTTTTGTTTTGAGTTTTGATCAGTTCGTTGCATTATGATGTCCTTTCGATTAGAAATTATTTTATTACTTCGGTTTCCGCCACGCAGTAAGTATATTGGACGCTTTTGGAACCATTGAGAAGAACCAGAAAAAATTTCCTCATCTCTTATCGCTCATAGTCAACTTGAAATCAGTAGACAAGCAAGAATTTGCGGGCATTTCAAGCTCGCTTCTCATCTAAGCGCGATTAATTGAAATCTCTTTTCTCCCCAGCTACTGTTCCTAGTGTCCAAAGTAGCCTTGCTGACCCTAGTTTTCAGCCATCTGCACTGGTATTTCGTTCTGGGATTGCTTTCGACTACGACAATTTTCCGCGAATTCTTTCAGTATGCTGGCCAGTGTTCAACATCGAGAGTGGCATGTCGCTGATAGCACGAGATGCCCCCGAGCGAAGCTCAACACAGGTACCAACAAATGAAACAACAACTTTCAATAATGATGTACCGCTCTCGAGTGCGCCGGTCTTTATGTGGGGTCCACCTCATAGCATGCCTGTAGTTAAGGACCCTGTGATGAGCACATCAGAGAAAAAGGCACCTATAGGGACATCAATACGTGACTCCTGCGAGATACAGACCAAAACGATCATCAGTAACACAGATGAATGCGTGAAAACCACATCTGAACGGCAAGAAAAAGCGACCACGGTTCCCCATGTGAGCCAAAAACATGAAGGGTCTTATTATGAACCAGCTGAGTCAACTACATTAAAGAAAGTGGAAATCAGTGGGGAAAAACATTTGCAAGAAAGCTCATTTGACGAAATTCAGGTTAATGCCAATAGAAAACGTTCTGCTAGCGAAGAAGCGACGATCAGCAAAGTTGTCGGGCAGAAACGCACAAGGAAACCACTGCAGGCGACGCTTTGTTTGTCTGCTGATAACAAGCAGAGAGGTTTTAAAACACAGGAAATGCTTGGTCCTGCAAATTGTGAGAGCGAAAAATCTGACCATGAATGCCACTGTATTCAGCCAAAGGAACGATCTGATGCGAAAGACTGTGAACATGATACTGTGACATCACCAAAAGAAAGTAAAATTGTGTCGAGTTCCGCAGAAACTAAGACGGTAGAGGAAGATAGCTCGGTAAGTTTTAAACGTTTGGGAATTGCTCAATTCAAGGCCATATCTGGTGACGACGTGAACCGTCGTAGCCACTTGACAAATTGTATTCCTTCTATGTGATGTAATTACGTATATAGCGACTGTGAATCCTGACGACTAGCAACGAACAAAGACTCAGGTGACATTTGGACGCATTGCGGTCCTATATTTCAAAAATCCATTTTCTATAGTTACTTGGTTATGAAACCACGCGTGGATAAAATTGGTCAAATTATTTCTTGCTTCTTGCTCTGTTGGGTTGTCAGCTCAGTCGGCAGACGAAAGTAATTATCGTTTGTTTTTGTTTCGTGTCAAAGCGGTTTTTGCTTGAATCGATCAAAAGGTAATTAGTTTAGCATTACTACGCTGCACGATTGACTTAAAAAACTCGCGTTACGTAAACAAAACCCAAAACGATTTTAACTCACCCGTACATGTTATCTTGCGCTTCACATCAGCTATATGTATTTAATCTCGAACCCAGATCTCCCACGGTCAGCGCCCAACAGAGTGAGATCTGAGTACTAGATTAACATGCATTTACTTCGAGCTTTGATTGATTCGCCGGATTGTCTGTGCCCCTTGTAACTGGTCAGAGTGCTTACTTTGATTTTGGTTAAGACACTCAATTGAATATAAAATGTTTAAGCAAGCAACCGGAACGATGATCCTGCTGGTATACGTTGGATCAATAGTGATCTAATCGGCTTAACATATAAAATGAAGAATACAAAAGCAAAAACCGACACAACGTAGGATGATTTTTTGAAGGTGTACTATATTTCGGCTGGCCAAACCAGCCTTCTTCAGCTACAATGGAAATTTTTACATTGGGACGTGTTTTTATGTGTTTTTATTGGGAACGTAAATATCGGCTACATAAAAACACGTTCCAATGTAAAAATTTCCATTGTACCTGAAGAATATAGTACACCTTCAAAAAATCATTCCACGTTGTGTCGGTTTTTGCTTTTGTATTACTCAATTGAAAACCGCTCTATCTGTAGTCAATTGTTGGTTTTGGTTTCACGACAGCCATTGCAGAACTCCGAACTGTGTTTTTGGTCGTTCGTGTGAGTAAACGGGGATTTTGTCATTTTTTCACTTAACTTTAAGAAAAAAGCCCTGACCATTCAAACGCGCTTCTACCGGAATGGGAAAATAAAATGTATTGGGAACGTGATCAGGTTTGTTAGCTTATACGAATGGGTTTAATTTAAACGGAATGTTTATTTGTAGGATTGTAAAGTCACGGCAGAAGTCTCACCTCAGCATGCGAGTTCCAACTTGTGCGCCGTAGAGAATGCTCGTATTGTAAAAGAAGACAACGTCATTTCGGAGGCCAATAAAACTGATCACTCGGAAAAATCATACGCGTTTTGCAGTTCTCCTCCTCGCCAGAGCGATAGCGATAGTAATCATTCTGCAGTAAACTTACAGCAGTGCAGTCGTTTGGAAAAAGAGCATACGCAAGAGAATGTACGGGATCTTATCGCCAGAATCAAGTACATCAAGAGTCGACTTGATCGGGCAGAATCTGACTACAGGAAGAAACGCATGTTGAAGGCGATTATTAGTTTACAGAAACGAGTCAAAGCTCTCTTCAAAGGCATGAAAAAAGAAAAGGTGGACCCTGCTAAAGAACAACAAGAGACGAGCAGCTATAATGAAGAACTTCGGGGTCAGGAATTACCGGATACAAATAGAACTGGTCGGAAGCTTCCAACCAATCACGTGATCACGGATCAAGGTAAACCTGGATTTCAGGAAAAGGAGAAACAAAATCTAATCTAAAGTATTGGAATAAAATTCGATTATTTAACAGCAGACCAAGGATATCTATGTTTTAGCTATTAAAATAGCTAAAATCTAAAATAGCTAAAATCTGAATCTGGCTTATATGATACAATGAATTTTCTCACGGAGCTGCATGTTCTGTTAAGTTATAAGCCAATAAAAAGAAAAACAACTGCTAGTAGTTTGAGAGAGCAGTGAAAATACTCTCCAGCAGCATCAAAGTAATATAGAGAGGTTGGGTGCTCGATTGATATTCGATTAATATACTTGAATCTTTCCGCTGTACTGAAAGCTTGGTCAATATAATGGAGATAATTGGAATGTATTTGCACATTTGACGATGTCCCTTACCCCTCTCATCATTGTTTGTCTTAACATGGTTGTTTCATCTCTGAAACTATGGAGCTAAAATGACATCCTTTGGGACGAGTTAACATTGACTGAGCAGAGAAAATCGAAGGGGTGGAGAAAACTGAAATTCGTCGATCGACTATGATGCTTAAGCAAGTTCCTTTCTCTGCAGGTGATGTTTCGCTTCTACTTAATGTTAAACAAGCATCGAAGGATTCTTCGAAGGGCAATACAGGAAGAGAAACCCAGCAGAGCTGTAAAGAGCTAACCATTGTCTCACCGCCTGTCATCGTTGTCAGTCATGATGATGTTACAAGCAGTGAGACGAAGACAGAGGATGAGGTAAAATTGACAACTTTCTGCCATTCTAAAGATGGTGATATAAACTGTAACAATAACAACAACTATAACAACAACAACAAATACAGAAGAGAGGACCGTGGTAGCCTGTCTTTGATATCTTCTAACGGATCCGTGGATGAGATTTCACTTAGGCTTCCGTTCGGAATCGGGTTGGATTGTTCACCTTGCGGAAAAAGAGCTGCCTCGTTCTCTGAATTTGATGAAAATGAATTTCCAAAAGATCAAAGCTTCAAAGCTAAGAAAATGAAAAGGTTATCTTTATCAGACGAGGACGTAAAGAAGATCGACCCAAGATTCCAGGATGTCATGAGCCATATTCAAAGTGTCACGCAAGAAGGCGCTCTAGATGGCTCAGAATTAAATGAAATGAACGAAGGTACGAATGAGTTAAACTTAGAATCTGACGCAGCAAATACGTCACGGAACAATGAGTGTGACTCACTAATCAGAAAGGAATTTAGTTTGAGTGACACAGATTGTGTCACGGTATTCAACAGTACGGATGCAGCACAAGGGATCAGTGCAGTGGACAAAAGGAGGGTACCACTGGGGGGTAACTAAGGGCTGACGATCAAGTCTTCTTTTATTTCTATTTGGCTCGACCGTGGTATTTCTTATCGATTGTACTGAGGCATTGTGCACGAAAAATATTATGGCTGACACAATAGTCCATGGAAATAAAATTATGGCTGAGGCAATGTCCATGTTTAAATTCTCTTCCTAACATTTAGGGTATTAGTGATCACTATATATAAACAACAAAAACGAAAAAGATGACTGAGGCAAGCGCCTCGATTTGCCTGTGTGTATATAGTAGCTATGGCCTGAGATATTTTTCTGAGAGGTTAGGAGGTAACGAAGGTGTATCTGAATTCCTCTTCAAAGCGCTTGAATGGGTGACCGTCAGAGTTGTAGCCAAAGCCCCTGAGGGAGATAAGTAAATCATCAATATTTGATCATTATCCAACTGCAGCGAATACCGTCCAAATAGCAGTACAAATATACAGAGATATTGTACAGTTATTTGTACAGTAGAAAACCTGTTTGCCTTACYGGTAGGCGCGCGCACGCAAAACRGTCACACTCTCCCTCTTTCATTGATAAATTTATTGACTACAGCAGTTGGATAATAAATCTCTTATTAGATGTTTTGGTGTGTAGTATCGCTGTATATTTTTACGAGTTGTGCCGTATTTTGACGAGCCCGTTATTTCTCCATCATTTAATTGATAGGTCACAGTGGTGTATGGGATGGGATGAACATTATAGATGATGCTGCAACTTCTTTTAACTGTGGTGAAAACAAAAGTAATGCAGATGTCGAGATGATCGAAATACCTGAACATAATTCTTGTTCCGAAGAAATGCAAGACATGACTTTCAATTTCACGGCAGTGGAGGATAACTCGAGTGGTCAAGAAGAAAATCATTGCCGTTCTTCTCTGGAAAACGTCATGCAAGAAGAAGATACGCAAGGCTTTACCAGCCCTGCCATACATAATCCAAGTGGGAGACAAGAGGACGTTGATTTGACGCAAAGTTTGCAGATTCGCGAGGCCAGAATTTTGAATCTTACTCGAAAGAGAGATAGGCTTTTGAATCTGACAGGATTCAAATAAGAATCAATATATGTAGATCGATCGTCAATTTCCAAAGTGTTCACATTGTCAGTTGATAAAAAATTTTCCAACCTGTCTCATCAATATTATTGATTAGCTTTGCTTTTTCCTAACCCGCGCCTACATTATTTTTCTTCCAAACAACAACAACAACGAATGCTTTTTATTTTCCTTTTGGTTCTTTTGGCTAGAGTTCTCGATATGTCCTTTTACTTTCTAACCTCAATGTAAGAAATCAGGTTAAACATGAATAAACTATAAAATGGGTGTTTCCTTTTCACGTTTTGTGATTCACTGAGGTAGGACTGAAAGATAATTTGTGTGTTATGTTTTATATATATTTTTTTATTTCTCCTTTTCTTGCTTTTGCGTCCGTTGTTTCATTTACCTAATACTCTTTCTATCCCAAGGCTTAAAAATTGGCGTACATAAGAGCCGATTTACACAGTACGACTCCGACGCATGCGACAAGCTTACGACAGGCCTACGACATGACGTAGAACCATTTACACGCGCAAGACATTTTCACTTACAAATTACTGATATGCAAAAGTTTGCACCGGGATTTACGGAGCGAAATTTCTAACAAACGGTAAAGAAAATATTTTAGCTGTCCTGCGCTTTAAAAAAAAAATTTCTAACGAGATGTTTTTCGCTGTAATCCGTTCATTTCGATCCGAAAAGCGACTTCATGTGAATCAGTCAACAACAACTTCGTCCGCCATTTTGGCCCAAGAAAACTTCACCTTCGTCCCCTACTCAGTAGAAATTTGTCACAAAATACGTCATTTTCTATCGATTTCGGCTACGATTGTCGCAGCGTTTTAAAACATCCTTTAAAATCCTACACGACATTTTTTTGACGTACACAACAGTCGTAAGCGAGTTGTAGGTTTGATTTACACGAAACAATTTATGTCGTGGGCCTGTCGTAAGCTTGTCGCATCCGAGAAAGTCGTACCGTGTAAATCGGCCATAACACCAGCATATCTTGCGATTTGACAAGCTGCTACGTGAAAAGGACATGTTTATCTGATCATGACCAACACCGTAATTTGATCACCAACCGCAACCTCGTTCCCAGGGTCTCTCATCTTACCGCCTCCAGGAGGCGGTAAGATGAGAGACCCTGGGAACGAGGTTGCACCAACAGGGGTTTGGCCGATTGATTTTACCGGAGAACAACTCCTTGCAAGGTAAGGTACTCTGAAGGTGGGTGGGCGCATTTAACTTCAGTTTATTCAAACACAGCATCAATTCAAGTTTGCTATCTTTTCCTCGTAACCATGTAACTTTATAATTAGCAAGCGTAAATTAATCTCGATAAAAAACCACTGAGGAAATTCTTCAGGTTTTGTTGATAATTTCTACTGAGAATGAAACGACTGCAAGGACTTATAGTATAACTTGTACAACCCCTAAATACAGCAATAGTTCCGGCGCGCATGACGTTGCAATAAATTAAAGCCTTAGTGGTGTAATCCCATACAAAGTAATATAAAAGGAGTAAGATATTGAAAGGTAGCCAACATACTGCTACCCCCAAAAAATAACTATGGCCATTATCAGAAAATTTCGTTTCATTTACATCCGTTTTCGTTCAGCGTTTTACCATTGTTCGCGAGAAGTCTTCTGTGAATTGAGCTTTAAAACTATGATAGAGTACATGGCGGCCGTAAAGTGAAAGGAATGTAAACGATACAACACTTTGCGCAGTGGTATAGCAACTCCTAGGAAACGAAAACTCTCCAAACATTTCCTTCCACCGTATCTCACAAAACCAGTTTTTCAGGATGTTCAACCAGGTTTCTGGCGAGAGGAAATACAACAACGCCGAATCGATCCACTGCTATCGGAATTAAACTCTGAGTAGACACCATACCGGAGATATTTGGTAGAAACGAAAAGTAACTTACACAATGCCTAGCCAAGAGGACATCTGACAATCCAGGTGTCGACATATACAATCCTGTTATAACGCGCGGAAACAGGAACATCAGAAACAGGCGATCGGCCATGACCATGTTTGAGATAAAAAAAGTTGATAGGTCTTCTCATGAAAACAGTTATTCCGATTTTAGTGTTCCCGACCGAAGAGGTGAATAGTACAACGCTGTCAATAAAGGATATATTTTCACAGAAAAAACAAAAAAAACAAAAACAAACAAACAAACAAAAAACCACAACAACAACAACAAAAAAAGCCGTAGGTAAAAGTCATTCCGATCTTTTCTGCCGTAGGATTGGGGCAGAATGATGTTTCATTTACCATTGTGTTCAAGTTACGGACGTTATGACTGTTTTTTTCCTTATTCTCATATTTTTTTTCCCAGAATCTATTCGTCCCCTGTTTTTTTTTTTGCCTGTTTTGTCTACCAAGCGCCACATTCTGTATGCACAATCTGAGAAGATTGATAATCGTAATCAGCGATATAATTCACGATTAAACACGTAGTCTCTAATCAAAAACACTGATATCAAAGCGCTTTATTTTAAAAGAATGAGCTTAGTATCGGAGCTCCGGCGGCCGGAAGGGCCTCCAAGCGGAGTCCCATACCCATATAGGAAAGAAAAGCAAATAGCCCATGGGCCAGCGCCGGTTCTCGGTAGCACTCAGGGGAGAAAACAGGAGTGATATCTGATGAAAGGCTGTATGACGGACTTTTCAAATTTACTTGATAGCAATCGTGAAAGAGTAGCTTTCAGTAAACTCTGTGTACTTCTTTTTTTCGAAAATATCGCTGTGACATGGCAAAGAGGCTTAAATTACAACAATTATTTTAAAAGATGTCATGAATTCAGAAACATCAAGGAAGACCACAAAACACATCAATGGCGGAAATTCCTAGCCAATTTCAAGAATAAATTGCTCCCATGACGAGATTCATGAGAATCTGAAATACCCAGCAGGAGGTGGGTTCTAATTTCCGGTGACGTCATGGTGCTTGTGCTAATCAGATTAATATATAGATTTAGCCGAGCCTAAAAGCGGAGCTCGTGAGTTATTTTTTGGAATGTTGTTACTGATGAAAATAATCCAAGATGTACATGTGTGTGAAGGAAACTGCGAGCGATTTTATAGTTTCAGCCCGAACTAGGATTACATCCGCAGATCGAGGTGTAAGATGGTGTGATGATGAAAATAGAGCCATGATTTCAAGCATTTCAGGGGAGCCAC